GCGCATCCAGCGGCAGTGTGTGAAAAGCTATAGTATGTGCCAAATCGATTGAGAAAAACGGACAATAATCTCAGTATGAGCCGAGTGTCAAAAGGCGTAGCTTACAAAAACTCAATTTAGATGTGATAACAATATTTAAATATTGATATTATTAACACTTCTAGGTCAGCAGATATGCTTTGTTTTTTGTTTCTTAAATAATATTGTCTGTGGTTCCCATAAACATCGTAAAATCTTTACGGTACATCGCGAAAAATGTATTATATTTTATATTTCAATTTATGGTAAGTAACGCAGCAATTCATTTAATAACAGTTTCATATTTAAAAAAAATATTTGAAGCAATATAATCACCATATTGAGCTTTTGCAAACTCATCCCTTTAAAATAAACAAAAGGCGCGTTACGTCGGTTCGTTCTAAAAGAAACGTATACGTTATTTTTAACATTATTTAACAGATGTTAAAAATTTACTTAAAGATGGTTTAACTCAAATCCCGCCAGATAAATGGAAAAACAGTGTTCAGCATGTCCTTAAGGTTGAACAACAAATTCGTGGCATAGATGATAGAATTGACCAAATTACAGATCGCTTTATAATTAATATTACGGGCAGTTTATCTGAATACACATCAAGTAAAGACACGAGTGATGATTGCACCGAATAAAAATAAAGTTCTTATATAATATTGAAAACAAGGTTTTATCTTTTGAATAAGTACGTACTTATTCGGTGTCGTTATCACCGGAATCTTTATGTGTTATAAATTAATGCTTTTTGTTGTTAAATGAATGAAGTACTTTATAACAATAGATGATTTTTTTCTACAGCGATCTTTTACATAACTTTTTAATAATAGTTAATAAAAATATTATATCAATCAAAAAAAAAGAAAGTACTACATATAAAATGTGCCCATATATTGAAGGTTTGTAACCCCTGGTTAAACGACCGAAAGGTCATTGTCCGTTTTTCTCAATCGATTTGGCACACACTATCTACAGCACTATTCTACAGAATATAATACAATCATTTATCCTCCAGAAAGAATTTTCGGTCACGGCCAGTCTCAATGGAGACTAGCCATCTGTTATTTGGTTTAAGCATTATTATGTAGTTGTTCGATGCCCTTCATATAAAAAAAATCAAGTGGACTTTGCTATTTTGTCACCCTAATTTTATTTAAGAAAAAACCACACTGCTTTAGTGCGTATTGTAAAATTTCACTTGTCCTCGAAATATTTTATTCCTCAGACATGCAAGTTTCTTCACGATTTTATTCTTCATCGCCGCTAATGCGGTAAATCAGAGCTGCCAATTGCAATTAAAAATTTAACAGCAGCCCGGATTGTTTAACTATTCTAAGCCAGTGCTCACACATACGTAAAATAATCCGATACTAGTTAACTACCATCCCATCAGCATATGATGGCTTACCATCAGGTGGTGATGCAGTCGAAGATGAAAAAGCGCACTAGCTTAACAAAAACCTACTCACTCTTACCTTGAATTCAAGTTGCGCACATTCATACATTTACACTATAATTTTGTCCTGCGCAAATGTCGAGCCTCCGAGACTGACCCCGGTGACCGAAATTCGGTCACGAGGAAATCAATTTGGATATTTTTTAGCATTCTCGTCTGGTTGTCAGTCGTTGAGTTTGGTAATATTGCCGTAGTGCGATCCGGTTATTCTAATCATGAAATCTTGAATTTGTTTTTATTATTTACAAGCGATGCGCCCCGGTTTTGCACGGGGTTATTTCTGTATCTCGACAACAGCGCCACCTACCGGGTCCAGTTGTGAATCTACGCCATTCCGGGACCCACTCAAACGCACACAATTTTTTTTAATTAAATTTAATTTTAATGCTTTTTGACATTCTCTCCCAATCAACCCGGGACATCCGGAAAAGAATGTGATAGGCTTTGCCAAATATAAAATGAACATTATAGTAAATGAGAAAACAAAACTACTCATATTAAACATATTATAAAATTAAATATAGACTTACATTGTATATATTATGTTGAGTATTTTAAGTATGTTCTGTTAGGAAAATGCTGCTGCCCATATTATTTCCTTTAGTCGCCTCTTACGATAGGTACTGCAGACGGGACAATATGGGATAGTGGACACGTTACCTTATTGTTTTTATGTTTTATTTGACGTATTTCTAATAAGATTAAGATAACCATTATTAAGATACCATTAGACCATTATTAAGGGGAAATATAACCTCAAATGGCTTAGCAAGATCCTCCGTTATGCCGAAAGTATTGCAGCATTAATTTTGAAATAAATATAATGGTAAAGTTGAGGATTAATGTTAAGGTTTATGTTAGACGAAAACACGATTCCGTAAAATTTTCTCGATAGAAAAAAAATCCAAAGTTACCTCCAAACTGAACAATAAACCGCTGTTATTCATAAAATACTTTAAATAAGATCATGAAACTTTGCATACTAACTGAACTAACCATAAAGCAGTGCTTATGTTATTTACTTTTTTTAAAATATCATTATTTTCACTGTAAAAAGAAATTACCTAAACTATCGGCGCGTAAGCTTGGTTCCTGTCGCTCCGTTAGTATTGCTCCGGCTTTTGAAGGGAGAAGTTGTGTCGTTTACGATCAGAATACAAATTACGCAACAGGACGACGTAAAATTAAAATGGGAAATAACCGTCATAAAAATAAGAAGCGACTGGGTTGGCGTTAAGAAACAGGCATAAATATGATAAACCTAATGAAATAAGTATATAACGATCTATCTACTTACAGTATTATTGATTACAAACATGTCGGTACATAGCATACGACGCGCGGGGAAGTGGGGGCGAAATTAGAATTTGAGCTGACTTACTCTATCCTCTTAACAAACGTAACGCCTAACATCAGACATTTTAATTTTACGTTTCCTGTTGCGTAATTTGTATTCTGATCGTAAGCGACACAACCTCCTCCTTCAAAGGCTTCAAGAGGCCGATAGTTTAGGTAATTTCTTTTTACAGTAAAAATAATGGTATTTTAAAAAAGTAAATAACATAAGCACTGCTTTATGGTTAGTTCAGTTAGTATGCAAAGTTTCATGATCTTATTTAAAGTATTTTATGAATAACAGCGGTTTATTGTTCAGTTTGGAGGTAACTTTGGATTTTTTTTCTATCGAGAAAATTTTACGGAATCGTGTTTTCGTCTAACATAAACCTTAACATTAATCCTCAACTTTACCATATATTTATTTCAAAATTAATGCTGCAATACTTTCGGCATAACGGAGGATCTTGCTAAGCCATTTGAGGTTATATTTCCCCTTAAGTTACCCACAGGACAAAATTAGCTCATGGATTCCCTGAACCGCAACCTCATGGTACACAAATTGTCTGGGTTTGATTCGCATTAGGTACTTCGTTCACTGACGGTAATAATAAAATATTGATAATTCCAAATAGAATTTCGGTCGCGGTGACCAGACTCCACGGAGCAACTAGCCTAGAGAGCCCGAGCCTAGCTAGTACTAGTAGCATACTATTTAATATAAATGAAGTAAATATTATTATTATTGATGCCAATTAATATGAAAATTGACTATTGATATAAAAATAATACCATCGACGATTTCCAATGGGTACCACTCGTCTATTATTACATCAGCTTCACCTAGAAATACGTTACGTAGAAAGTCTGAAATTAACAGTTATAATTTACAAAGCAGCATACTAAAATAGTCTCGGCTGGTTAATTTTATACGATGTATATGTGTTTGTAATTCTAACATTGTATAGTCTGAATGTTTAAAACATCTTACGAATTTTATTTTATTATAATTCACAGTTAAATAGCAGGAAATAAACGTTAGTAGTGATGAGCAGCACCTAAACGACTATTTATTAAGACCAACTTTTTTGGTAGATTTAAAACAGTGCACCGTGCATCTGCTGAAAATTACTAATTCTATATCTATTCATAATTTAAAAAATTAAATTCTTGACAAGACTCCAAAAACTAAAATATAAAAACTTAAGTCTTTCAATAATGTTCAACATTGACTTATCAACGTTTAGTAGTGTGAGCATCACAAAACACATTTGTGCAGATTTCCACTCCTGTCTCCGACGACGGTGCGTAACAAATGTACAATCAGTCCCATTGTATTTCTTCATATTTTATAAATAAGCGTGTTGCCAGTGATGACCTATGAATCTGAGACGTGGTCCTTCACTGCTGGCCGTATGAGAACGATCAAGGTCACTCAGCGAGCTATGAAGAGAGCTATGCTCGGTGTTTCTCTTCGCGGTAAACTTACTAATGAGGATATCCGCAGTAGAACCAGTGACCGACAGAGTCAACGGATTAGTAAGTTGAAGTGGCAATGGGCCGGCCATGTAACTCGAAGAACCGATAACCGATGGGGAAGAAAGGATTTCGAGTGGCAGCCTCGTACCGGCAGGCGTAGTGTATGGCGTCCCCCCAATAGATGGAGTGACGACCTGGTAAGACACAGGCTCATGACCGTGCTTTGGAAGATTCCTTGTGGGAGGCCTATGGTTAGCAGTGGACTTGTGAAGGGCTGTAAAGATGATGATAAGGAATCGTACTCACCACGCTGGGTTTAATGACCGCAGATGGGAATCTCGCACCGGTCTCCGCAGTCTGTGTTTTTTTTATATATGTCGCACATCTTGATGGTGAGTGGACAACCAACCACCATACGTTTTTCTTTTTTCTTGTCACACATTACCAGATTGTGGTATACTCTCACATTGACACTTCGTACCATAAGAGAGCCTACTTCATTTGCAAACTTGATATATAAATTGGCATTGCATCATCAGCTGACATTACAGGTCATCGAACATGACAGGCCACCGAACATTTGGGTGTAGTTTTAATTCACGCATAAAATTGCAGCAGTGATTGCAAATAGCTTAAATAATAAATAATAAAAAAAAAGATTTCAACTAATAAGGACTTTAAGATATACTTCCTAATTGATATGTCAGCTCGACCGGCAGGACTTAGGGTAAGCGCGCACTGGCGGCCAGATAACAGCGGCCAGGCCGCGGCGGCCACCGAAATGTATGCATTTTATTCGCAGTGCGCGCACTTGGCCGCAAGCGGCCAGCGGTCGCTGCGGCCAATGAGATCATTGCGACGTAACCTGCGACCTGTATTGGCCGCTGGCCGCCGCGACCACTGGGATTCGAAGAATTGTAGGATCGTGCGCCAGTGTGCGCGCACTGGCCGCCGCATTTTTTGGAAAAGTTTATCAAACGAGGGCTTGTCCATTCTTAAATAATTGAAATATTTATCATTTTGTTGTTTAAAGTGAGTAAAGTATGTCTGAAATAATCCCTTATAGTGTCTTTCACACAGTAATGGATGAATCTAGAATCTTTTCTTCTTGTTTTTTTTGCTTCTTACTTGCAAGATAAACCATTACAGCTATTTCCTCGACGTCCATTGCAAAGCACTCTATAATCGTGACTGACAATTTTGGTAGCAGTTCTGACTGCGTGCTTGGTCGCGACACTTGCGGCCTGGTCGCGATACTGGCCGCTGCTATCTGGCCGCCAGTGCGCGCTTACCCTTATGGTTAGTTTATGGAGTAGCTGCACTGCAGTAACTCACACTGTTTGGACGTCACTTACGAGTAACTCGGACGTGCGAGTTAGAGAGTAGCTCACATCCGAGTTCAACATTTTTTGTTTTCAATCGCATGCTCACCCGTCAGCAACTCGTACATGACATCGTGCTTTTTTATAACACGTTCACTCGACATCGCGGCAACTCGCAAGACCGGACAGCAGCTGCTAGTGTCGTGTAGACAGCAAAGACGAGCCATGCTACTGACGTACGAGTAGACAAGCCGAGTAGCTGTCTACTGTCTAGTCAGCAGCTCACATCGTCTAAACTACCCATTAGTTTTGATAAAGTTCGTTCTTTCTAGGCTGCGTAGGCTGATTGGCCAATGGTAGAATAACCTTGAGAATGAACCTTGATAGTCCAGCTAGCAAACTACGTCAACCATAATGGCTGCAAAGATCAAACACATAAAAACTAATACACACTTTAAAATGCTTCATAGAAAGCCGAACCAAATTAAAAAAAAATGTTAACTTAAAATATTTGATTGTTTAATAAGTTTAGCCTTTCATTAAATCCGTAACTAACAACACTAATCCATCGTTCCTTGGCACGGACAAAGATTAGAAGCGGATATAGTTTATTTACTTTAAGTGCATGTACACTAAAATTGGACGCCTGTAGAAATAGAACGAAGCTAAAGATATATTATTATATTTACGGGCATAATTATTATTTATATCGCTGATAAACGGATAAAGTCCGATGTTACGAAAATAAAACAAAACATAACTTATTATATAGTACATCGACGTAGTTCACGGATATAGACAAACAATTTCAAACAAAAAAGGAGGCTACAGTTGCATTGTCATCCCTAAAATGTTGATCTTGTGGTCGTAATTGCTACTGATGACAAGAGATGGGCGAATTTGTGAGTGCACTGTGCGGATACAACAGTCAGTCTGACAGTTTACCGCTACTTTATTGAAAGAAACAGCCTAGACAGTGATAGCTACCCTGAATAGAATATAATAGGATGGGATAGGAGAGAATATTTTTTTATTTAATATAAATTACAAAATAATGTACCTATATTGAGTCGTTTTTACTATGACCACTTGTTCGGAAAGAAAACTTAGGAAGAACCAGTAAGAAACCCAGCGGGACTTTTTTCCACAGTAACATTCAATACAAAATAAAAAAGGAGTGCTATTTGTTAAACTAATAACTTACTATTTGTTTAAATAATATAGCTGTGTGTATGTAAAATATTATAATAGACATAATATTTTTTTACGCAGTTGTAAATGTTACTTCGATGTTATTTCGATCATGGCGCCAACAAATGTAAGTTGCCATTTGCCAACAATTTAGTCCCCATTTTATATTGTCCTAGCGATAGCACGGGTGATTTCTGTATATCCACAACAGCGCCACCTATCCAGGGACCGACACAAAAAAATTCATCAAACCCACGCAAAAAAAAAATCATCAAAATCGGTCCAAGTGTTTAAGAGTTCAGTGACAAACACACATACAGAAGAAATATAATATGTGTACGTTAATAAGGATATGTAATTTCCCGAACGTTCGGAAATTTTATTAGCGTTCTGGAAATTACGACACATCTTCTCGTCAAGTATACACAATATACCTCAAACTCTGGAAACTAGATTGTACAACTAGTGCGTGTTGCCAGTTATGACTTACGAATTTGAGACGTGGTCCTTCACTGCTGGCCGTATGAGGACGCTTAAGGTCGCTCAGCGAGCTATGGAGAGGGCTATGTTAAGAGTTTCTCTGCGTGATAGACTCAGAAATGTGGATATCCGCAGTAAAACCAGGGTGACCGACATAGCCCAACGGATTAGTGAGCTGAAGTGGCAATGGGCTGGCCATATAGCTCGAAGAACCGATAACCGATGGAGAAGAAAGGTTTTCGAGTGGCAGCCTCGTACCGGTAGGCGTAGTGTAGGGCGACGCCCCACTAGATAGAGTGACGATCTGGTAAGACATGCAGGAAGTCGATGGATGCAGGTGGCTCAATACCGTGCTTTGTGGCATTACTTGGGGGAGGGGGGGGGCTATATTCAGCAGTGGACTTGTGAAGGGCTGTAATGATGATGATGATGATGATGATTAAAGATATGCATTCTTCTGTACGTTAATAAAGATACATAACAAAATATTAGGATTGGTAGGGAACATGTACTTTAAAGAACTGACATCCAATGGAGAAAGAAGATTCTCGAGTGGCAGTCTCGTACCGATAAGCGAAGTGTTGATCGCGATGGATGCAGATGACTCAGGGCCGGGATTTGTTATATTATTCCTTGTGGGAGGCCAATCTCCTCAGGCTCAAGGCTCAGCAGTGGACTTGCGAAAGGCTGCAATGATGATTATCAATGATGATATACAAATAAGTAAAAGTACTACCAATTAGAGGCCCACTGCATCATTCTGATTTTTATCATAGTTGCCGCTTTACAGGGCACAATCCATCTCCTTTTATGTCCAGTGAAAAGTCAAGACGAGGAGTTACGACGTCACTACACACATAAAAACGTGTCGTCTAAGAACTTGAAATAGTTTTTAATCTCTGATATCTCGCTAGATTTACGATTCTACGAGTTGTTAACTGTACAAGACATTTATAAATATTTTTAAAGAGCCGCAAATTACAATGCAATTAGAAAACAATATCGACGTTTAAATATAAAAATGATATTTGTATATTTAAACGACGATTAGGTGTCTATGAGCCACCATTCACTTAAAACCCAATGATTTCAAAAAGAAGGATAGGCCCATCTAAATATTTGACTCATAAATATTTCATACAAGAAAAAGTAGAGCATATGTCATAATATAAACGTCATATCAAAACACGACGTAACCAGGATCGGATTTCGTAGTATAATTATATCCTAGTTGTTTCATTATTTCATAGTTAGTAGTACATGGTATCGTAATAATACTAAGCGAAAATACTATAATTTTACCTAAAGGTCGACTTGTATTATTATTGGGTCCTTTTAGATTTTAATACTAACCGTACGATATCGAGAATTTCTGTATTGTTTTTAGGTTGGTTCTCATAATATAAATTCTACATGAGTACGGCGTTTTTTTTAATAAAATTAGAATTAGCTCCCTTTCTGATCAATCGATGCTCGATCGATGCATTTATGTTGCATTTTTGATACAACTATAATGAGGTGCTACCACGAAAAAAAACTATGCTCCAGAAGCAAGGTTTGAAAACAGAATTTTAAAATATTTTATGAATCAGATTTTCAGATTCAATTAAGCAGATATTGTTTCTTTTGTACTCTTTTCGTTTTACCCTTATTGCCTTGTAAATATAAAATATATTAGGTACCAAATACCAATATTCAAAATTTAACTTACACTAAGTTCTTTAGACAAAAATTAAACAGAAATAAAATGAAAACCCTCAAAAACCGAAACGTATAAATAAACTAGACGCGTCACGCCAACATGGGAAAAAAGAAACATGAAACGTCAAACGTGATATATTTTTTTTAAATAGTATAATTTTATTTTTCATATACAATATTTTTGAGGGTCTGAATCCTACCCTGGCCTAATCTTGGTAACGTAACTAAACTAACTGTAAAATAAAACTTTAAAAATGCGTTTATATAATAATTTAATTGTAACAAAATTAATGTAAAGTTATTTACCGATGATACGATATCCCATGTTTTTTAAAATCTTTGTATCCTAATTTTTGCATTCTTTTACCACGCAACTAGACATATTTGTGACAGGCAAATCTGTCCGGCGCGCGCACCACTGTCGACCGATTCACGTTGGCCCTAAACTGTAATTTTAGGGCCAACGCACTGGTCTGTTTTAATTGTTCGGTCGGCCCGATCCTTACGCTAGTCATATATAAGTCAATGTTAAAACCAGATAGACTGTGATCTTGTTTGTAAACCCGGCTTGGAAAAAATAATTAAGAACCTGATGATGATAATTGATACAATCGAATTGAAAACCTCTTCTTTCTTTATCCTTCAATAAAGCCGGTAAAGAAAATGAAGCTTGAACATATTCGTCATACTTTCTGTTTTCTCAACAACGCACCATGAATAAATAACAACAATTTCTATGGGAATATCAGGGAAAGTTACCAAAGCATAGAGAAAATAAGTCGAAATGACTTAGGAGTAGGAACGGCAGTAATTTTATACCAATAAAACTGTCCAAACTGCAAACTGAGCCCAAGGCTAGCAGTGGATTGCCATAAGCTAGGGAATATGATGAGGATTGAGGATTTTAGATATTTACATATTATATAAAAATCTTTTAATTATTTAAGAAAATGTTATGTGCTATCAATCCTATGTTGTATAGTCTATTCGTATAGAGTCGCCTTTGTGTAGCGCCGCCTTGGCGGTGTCGCATCTTATCAAAGGCGACGTACAACCGCAGGATAAATTCGAAGTGATAGGCTTTTTTGCTTGTGTTTATTATTTATATTCGTATTTTATTACAAAAAATACTACATTATTACAAAAATAAAATTAAATAGTATTGTATTTTATTCTTAGAATAGAAAAATATTTATTTAACAAACACAATAAAAAATAATTAAATAAAAGCAAAATAATAAGTGCGCCTCGGGGTGTACCGACACTATCTTAACGAACAGACTTAGTATACATCATTTATATTAATATT